CTCAGACTGGGACACGTATTTGTCTCGCTATTTCCTCGAAATCGATGCCAACAAATCCTTCAATTTCGCATTGCTATGGCACAAGACGCTGCTCCAAAATCCAATTGTCGAGTAGACAAAAAGCTCTGGCACAATAAAAAAAAAAATACAAAAATATACAAGCAAAAAAATAAGCAGCCGAAAGGCAAACCAACCTATCGAAAGGGATTTGTTTGTGCGCCTGCAATTTATATATACATATACATATATATATTTATATTTATACGAAGAGAACATTTTCATATGCAAAAAGTCAGCTTATTGATACCAAATAGAAGAGGCCAAAAATAAAATGGAAAGAAAAAAAACTGTATGTCGTGAATTCCTTTCAAATATTTGCTGGCAACGCGCTGTGCCAAAGCCTAGCTGTATGGAATATTACATAGTTTGATCCCTGCCCATAAAATTTAATGCCAGCCACTTGTGTTTGTCGTCTGTGTTCAACGGATTTGTGTCAAAATATTGGCAGTTATTCAGCGGCGCCTTATTGCAAGCCAGCAGGCGACAACAGAACGTATGTGTAACACGGCACGAGGTTCAAGTAGCAGCAAGAAGCTGAGCAGGAAGCAAAGCAATAAGCATTGCAAATATTTGCAAATGTATTATTCAGCTACTGCTTGAATGGTAGAGAAGAAAAAATTTTATAGAGAGGGAAGGCAGTTTAAGAAGCAAAGAGAGAAGCGAAATGAGAAGCTAACAAAGAAAAAAGAGGGAAAGTAAGAAAAAGGAAGAAGAACTGTTAAGCATATGTAGCAGCAAAGAAAGAAACGAAGGAGAAGCAAAGACAGTGAAGAAGTAAAAGAAAATAAGTGAGCAGAAAGTGTCGCAAGGTAAGAACTGAACAAGAATGATAATGGATAAGTGAAAAAGGAAGAAGAGTATGGCAGAAAAGGGTAAATGGAGAAGATAAGTAAAGTGAGAAACAATTACGGAGTCGCAGAGATATATGAATATAAAGATAAATAAGAAGGGATGCAAGAAAGAAAGACTGAAGCAAAAAGGAAAGGTAAAAGGCTTAAATGTAAAAGGAAGAAGAAAAAGTAGCCAGAGTCGAAGGGAGAAGCATATAAACTTAGTATGTTAGCATATTTCACGTTCAATCGCTGCATTATCTTTTAATCCTTGTATTATAATCCTAGTTTAGTAAAAGCATATACCTGCCCGCATTCACTCTCAAGTGATGAGCATAACTCCTTTTGCGGCTACTCGATTGCCAGAGCTTAAGCATGTGAAACGAGTCTTTAACAGGGAAATGCTTGCATCAATTTATTGACAACGCCAGCTAATGAAAATTGCGTTCAGGTATTATGCTTTAGAGTTTGAGCCAGCTGTGCCAATAAAACTTTTTCAATACGTTGGCGCATTAAAAACCGAGTTGAAAATTGCGACACAAACTTTGACCAGTTGCACAGACTGAGAGCCAAGTGCATGCCAGATCGGCCCAGAGATAGATGTACATGTATATGTATAAGTTTGTGTGTGTGTGTGTGTGGGTGTGTGTGTTTGGGTAAATCATGTGCGACAAGAAATTGCTGTTGAAAAGTTTTAAAAATGCATTTGCCTCGGCGACAAGAAGGGCAACAACTTGAGACAAGCTGCACAGGATGGTAGCAGGTCCTGGCGACGTTGACAAACGCATTACTCATACGACTAGTTGTACACACGTAATGATTAATGAAACGGCTGGCGTTGACAAGCGAAAAGAGAAGGCGTCTCAGAAATTTTGAATTATAGCCGGAAATGGGACTAGCTATTTAATGTGTGGCAATGTGATAAGCCATCAACGAAAATGCCAGACAGGTCAGCTGCTGTTGCTGCCTTTGCTGCTGCTGCTGCTGTTCCAGACAGTTGTCATTAATTTTCGGCCAACAAGCAGCAGCTGACCACAGCGCAGCGCCAACGATTTCATGACAATTTAACGCAACTGTGTGCAAAGTTTCCCATTTGCCAGCTAACAATGGACCCAGCAAATAAATGTAATGAAAAAGCAGCCCGACAAAAAAACGGGCATCTCCTTCGTCCGGAGGGCAGCGTAATCGATGCGGCTCACATTAGGTTTGCCGGGCGAGAGTTGTCCTTTTGGCCAACCACCAGCATTTCGAGTGCGCCTTTGACTTGGCCAGGACTGCTCCACTTTATCGTGTGTGTGTGAGCGTGTGTGTGTGCTGCTTCGTTTATCATTTGTTGTTCACTTGTCGAAATTTTATTGCTGCAATCTTGTTTGTCGTCGTCAAAGGAGCTGCTGCTGCTACTGGGGGACACTTCGAATGCCACTCGTACACATACATTTATATATATATATATATATATATATATATATATATATCATGGCAAGGATACTTGAGCTGCGACTGGACATCGTTGTTAGAGCTGCCATTGCTGCAGGATATGCGTCTAATAAGCGTGTGTGAGTATGTTCCCGCTGAGTGAGTGGGTAAGTAGTAAGCGCATTACGTATACGTAATATAACAAATGCTGCCTGGCAATTTAAAGTGCCGCTTGGAAAATTGATGCGCCGCCTTTATACTTTAAGCAGTTAGCTATAATCAAGGCAAATATTTCCAGAAAATTACTTTCTTTTGTTTCACAAACTAATGACAGACGGAAAGAAAGCTGCAAAAGGGATAAACAGAGGCACGAAAAAAACGCAGATATATATATACGCAGCAATCAGGCAGCGGAAAAACAGCGCAGCTAGAAAAATAAGCTAACTATATAAAAAAAAGCTATTATTTGAGATGTCGAGATTTAAATACCCTCGTATATATATGAAAGATTTGAGATCAATTTATACTCTCAAGCAAACACAACAGGAAATATATGATAAGACTTTCCTCATAAGACTAGCAACAATGTGGGGATAGAACTTGCTGAGCTAGGTCAAGATATCTTGAAAAATGGGACAACTATATAAATAAAAACTTACTTTTTGGAAGGATATATTCTATTAATCGATATGATAAGGTTGATCAATATTGAGAAGTCTTATATTATATCTAAGAATCAGGTTAAAGATCAAATATCAAGTTGTATACTTGTGCAATCTTATATAACAATCAATTTAAAGCTGATCAGAAAGAAAGATATGTCGCACAATCCAACTACCCTCTGTCAGGGTATTTAGCATGCAAACAAGTCGTGAATAAATTTCAAATAAGCGCCCTCTACATTAATGAGCTAATAAGCAGAGAGTATGACTGCCAAGCTGAGGCGCTGTCTTAAAGCCGAAAATGTCGCCAGGCCGTAAACTATATGAATTTAGCCAACTCACGCACACACGCACACACACATCCTGTCGGAGTCGGCATTTATGAGCCAGCCAGATTCAGAGACAACAACTTACATGTGTCAGCAGCACTGGCAATGAATTGTTTTTATGTGCTAATGCACAGCTTGGCAGCAGACCGCTTTTCGCTTCCCAAAATGCCCCTATCCAAGGCAGTCCCTATTGCTGTTTGTGAACCTCGTCCCAGTTGATTTGTTTGCATGCTTAGCACGTAAAGCGATTTGATTTCAATTTTCCAGATTCAGCTGACCAGCTAACCAGCTGACCAGCGCCTAGGCGTCTACTTTGCCGGAATGACTTGGCAACGTTTGGGACAACGTTGCGTATGCGGAATATGTTTTAAGGGTCTTGCCTAATCGCCGGGAATATCCCACACTTGAATTGCTTAGCGTAAGGCAACGATTTGGGCTAGCGATAAAAATTATGTACAGAAAAACCATCAATTATCGTTAAATCAAATTCAAAGGTATTTCCATTTATTTTGTGTTCAAAAAATTGAAAGCTGCTTTCATGTACCCTATGCCCATGAAATGGGTATATTTGAGTTATGCAAAGTTATGTAACAGAGGAAAGAATGGAGAGATGCCTTAATAGAAACTATATATATATATATCCTTGGAGGAAGGTTATGTGAGTTTATACGAAGGCACCTCTATGTATACGACCATCTGAAAGTATAAAGGCTAAAGCCTTCAAATTTTGATTTTTGGCTCTCGTATATCGCACATACATTTCAGACCATCTATAACTATTCTTTTATCCCAAAATCCAAAATTGAAGTATAAATAAAAAATAATAAACATTTTTCTTATATCGAAAAGTTGGAGAGCAAATTAATTAGATAAAGCCGAGAGCAGAAGAAATACAGCTGCTATCAAAAATGATTTACCTACAGGGCATCCGCCAGTCGACTATCTTAAAAAAGAGTACTCCAACTTTTTTTTTTTTTAGCACTTTAATTATGAAATTTCAGCGAAAAATATCATATCAGCAGGCAGCTAAAGTTCAAGTGATACGAAAATCCATTTGTGATTTAATAGAATATGTTTTCTTTATCTATCAAATGCGTTTGGAATCTTCGTTGAAACTCTTAAACTTTTAACTAATTAAAATCTATAAAAATACCAAAAATTTGTGACATTTTTCGATAACATTCGGCAGCTAGGCCTGAGATAATGATAGCAAAGATTATGTTGCCTAAAGTTCGCCATTACGAACCAGCGTATTTCTTCAACAAAGAAATTTTTTTTTACACAAAATAAATTGAAAGGTACGACAGTTAACTGTCTTAACTGTCTTCAGAAAAGAAATAGATAGAAATCTTGCAGTGCAATTGCCGTCATAAGTAGAAATCACTTTCAAATATTCAAGTGTCGCACGTGTGTCCCGTCCGGCCCGCAGCTCAAGTGCCTTTAATTGCTGGCCTGTGGTTTATAATCTCAATAATTTAATAGATAAGCATAGATAAGGAACATGTTTTGGTCAACGCGCTTCAGTTGAATCTATCAGGCAGAAGAGGTAGAAGGCTGCAAGGCAGGGGCAGCTCTTAAGAGTCCCATTGATCTTTCTTGCTTGAATTATAATCTTGAAAGCTTCATTTGATAACACAAAAGTTGTGGGCCAACTGATAAAAATGTTAGTATAAAAGCCACAGTGGTCAATGGAAAATCATTCGTTCCTTCCACAACGATCAAGATGAAAGTGCTCGTAGTTCTTGCCCTGGCTATTGCCACCGTCTCCGCCGGCGTCCTGCCCAACAGTGTACCCGTGCATCCTCGTGACTTGCCCGCCGTGCCCTCCATTGAGGGACGCATCACCAACGGCAAGACTGCCTCCGAGGGTCAGTTCCCCTACCAGGTGGGACTAAGCTTCTCCAGCTCCAGCGGCGGCTGGTGGTGCGGTGGCTCCATCATTGACAACCAGTGGGTGCTGACTGCCGCTCACTGCACCAGCGGGTAGGTGTTCCCATTTAAGATTTTGCCTTAACCCATTGCTAAACGGTTTTATATCCTTGCTTGCAGTGCCTCCTCGGTGACCATCTACTATGGTGCTCTTCAGCGCACCAGCGCCAAGCTTACCCAGACCATATCCAGCTCCAACTTTAAGCAGCACACCAGCTACAACTCCGTTACCTTGGCCAACGATATCTCGCTGATCAAGACACCCACCGTCTCCTTCACCGCCTACATCAACAAGATTCAGCTGCCAGCTATCGCCAGCAGCTACTCCACCTATGCTGGCCAGAAGGCTATTGCTTCCGGCTGGGGCAAGACCTCCGATAGCGCTTCCGGTGTAACCAATGTCCTGCAGTACCAGTCCTTTGATGTTGTGTCTGTCGCCACTTGCCAGGCCACCTATGGCTCTGCGGTCGCCAGCTCTAAGGTCATCTGCATTGCCACTCCCAACCAGTCTTCCACCTGCCAGGGTGACTCTGGCGGCCCATTGGCCCTGGAGAGCAACGGCAGACTTATTGGTGTCACCTCGTTTGTGTCCAGCGCTGGCTGCCAGTCTGGTCTCCCATCTGGCTTCACCCGTGTGACCAGCTACCTGGACTGGATCAAGACCAACTCCGGCGTTTCCTACTAAATGCACTTTCAAAATACTCCGAAAATAAAATAACTTTTGCAAAAAATGTAACTTCCCAAGGCGTTCTACTTTAACAATAGTTCAAATTATTACCAAAGAAGCTTAGCGAGTTAGATATTCTTTCATTATAAGGCAGATGGAGATTGTCCCAAAGCTATCCTTACAGTAGGGCCTAAGGCCCGAATCCTCGTAGTCAACTATTGAAACGGGTTTACCCATATAATGGTGAGGAACGCATTTTCGTTGGCATTACAAATATAGACCAAAACCTCGTGAAAATCGGATGAGATTTCCACGAGTTATGGTGGTGGGAAATTTTGACCTATGTCTATATACAATATTTGAGGGTAAGATTTTGACATGAATTGGGACAAAAATTTACGTAGTCAGATTTTAATGCCAGTTTATTCTAGAGGGAAAACTATGAACAAAAAGCCAAAGCTCGTGAAAATCTGATGAGATTTGACCGAGTTATGGTGGTGGGAAATTTTGACCTATGTCTATATACAATATTTGAGGGTAAGATTTTGACATGAATTTGGACTAAAATTTACGTAGTCAGATTTAAATGCCAGTTTATTCTAGAGGGAAAACTATGAACAAAAAGGCAAAGCTCGTGAAAATCCGATGAGATTTGACCGAGTTATGTGGGTGAGAAGTTTTGACCTATGTCTATATAGGAATCTAAAGGGTAAGATTTTGACATGAATTTCGACTGAAATTTACGTAGTCAGATTTCAATGCCAGTTTATTCTAGAGGGAAAACTATGAACAAAAAGCCAAAGCTCGTGAAAATCGGATGAGATTTGACCGAGTTATGGGGGTGAGAAGTTTTGACCTATGCCTATATAGGAATCTAAGGGGTAAGATTTTGACATGAATTTCGACTAAAATTTACGTAGTCAGATTTTAATGCCAGCTTATTTTAGAGGGAAAACTATGAACAAAAAGCCAAAGCTCGTGAAAATGGGATGAGATTTGACCGAGTTATGGAGTGAGAAGTTTTGACCTATGTCCATATAGAATATTTGAGGGAAAGATTTTGACATGAATTTCGACTGAAATTTACGTAGTCAGATTTCAATGCCAGTTTATTCTAGAGGGAAAACTATGAACAAAAAGCCAAAGCTCGTGAAAATCGGATGAGATTTGACCGAGTTATGGGGGTGAGAAGTTTTGACCTATGCCTATATAGGAATCTAAGGGGTAAGATTTTGACATGAATTTCGACTAAAATTTACGTAGTCAGATTTTAATGCCAGCTTATTTTAGAGGGAAAACTATGAACAAAAAGCCAAAGCTCGTGAAAATGGGATGAGATTTGACCGAGTTATGGAGTGAGAAGTTTTGACCTATGTCCATATAGAATATTTGAGGGAAAGATTTTGACATGAATTTCGACTAAAATTTACGTAGTCAGATTTTAATGCCAGTTTATTCTAGAGGCAAAACTATGAACAAAAAGCCAAAGCTCGTGAAAATCGGATGAGATTTGACCGAGTTATTGGGGCGAGAAGTTTTGACCTCCGTCTATATAGGAATCTAAGGGGTAAGATTTTGACATGAATTTCGACTAAAATTTACGTAGTCAGATTTTAATGCCAGTTTATTCTAGAGGGAAAACTATGAACAAAAAGCCAAAGCTCCTGAAAAACGGATGAGATTTGACCGAGTTATGGGGGTGAGAAGTTTTGACCTATGTCTATATAGGAATCTAAGGGGTAAGATTTTGACATGAATTTCGACTAAACTTTACGTAGTCAGACTTTAATGCCAGTTTATTCTAGAGGGAAAACTATGAACAAAAAGCCAAAGCTCGTGAAAATCTGATGAGATTTGACCGAGTTATGGGGGTGAGAAGTTTTGACCTATGTCCATATAGAATATTTGAGGGTAAGATTTTGACATGAATTTCGACTAAAATTTACGTAGTCAGATTTTAATGCCAGTTTATTCTAGAGGGAAAACTATGAACAAAAAGCCAAAGCTCCTGAAAAACGGATGAGATTTGACCGAGTTATGGGGGTGAGAAGTTTTGACCTATGTCTATATAGGAATCTAAGGGGTAAGATTTTGACATGAATTTCGACTAAAATTTACGTAGTCAGATTTTAATGCCAGCTTATTTTAGAGGGAAAACTATGAACAAAAAGCCAAAGCTCCTGAAAAACGGATGAGATTTGACCGAGTTATGGGGGTGAGAAGTTTTGACCTATGTCTATATAGGAATCTAAGGGGTAAGATTTTGACATGAATTTCGACTAAAATTTACGTAGTCAGATTTTAATGCCAGTTTATTCTAGAGGGAAAACTATGAACAAAAAGCCAAAGCTCGTGAAAATCGGATGAGATTTGACCGAGTTATGGGGGTGAGAAGTTTTGACCTATGTCTGTATAGGAATCTAGGGGGTAAGATTTTGACATGAATTTCGACTAAACTTTACGTAGTCAGACTTTAATGCCAGTTTATTCTAGAGGGAAAACTATGAACAAAAAGCCAAAGCTCGTGAAAATCTGATGAGATTTGACCGAGTTATGGGGGTGAGAAGTTTTGACCTATGTCCATATAGAATATTTGAGGGTAAGATTTTGACATGAATTTCGACTAAAATTTACGTAGTCAGATTTTAATGCCAGTTTATTCTAGAGGGAAAACTATGAACAAAAAGCCAAAGCTCGTGAAAATCTGATGAGATTTGACCGAGTTATGGGGGTGAGAAGTTTTGACCTAAGCCTATATAGGAATCTAAGGGGTAAGATTTTGACATGAATTTCGACTAAAATTTACGTAGTCAGATTTTAATGCCAGTTTATTCTAGAGGGAAAACTATGAACAAAATGCCAAAGTTCGTGAAAATCTGATGAGATTTGACCGAGTTATGGGGGTGAGAAGTTTTGACCTATGTCCATATAGAATATTTGAGGGTAAGATTTTGACATGAATTTCGACTAAAATTTACGTAGTCAGATTTAAATGCCAGTTTATTCTAGAGGGAAAACTATGAACAAAAAGCCAAAGCTCGTGAAAATCGGATGAGATTTGACCGAGTTATGGGGGTGAGAAGTTTTGACCTATGCCTATATAGGAATCTAAGGGGTAAGATTTTGACATGAATTTCGACTAAAATTTACGTAGTCAGATTTTAATGCCAGTTTATTCTAGAGGGAAAACTATGAACAAAAAGCCAAAGCTCGTGAAAATCTGATGAGATTTGACCGAGTTATGGGGGTGAGAAGATTTGACCTAAGCCTATATAGGAATCTAAGGGGTAAGATTTTGACATGAATTTCGACTAAAATTTACGTAGTCAGATTTTAATGCCAGTTTATTCTAGAGGGAAAACTATGAACAAAATGCCAAAGTTCGTGAAAATCTGATGAGATTTGACCGAGTTATGGGGGTGAGAAGTTTTGGCCTATGTCCATATAGAATATTTGAGGGTAAGATTTTGACATGAATTTCGACTAAAATTTACGTAGTCAGATTTAAATGCCAGTTTATTCTAGAGGGAAAACTATGAACAAAAAGCCAAAGCTCGTGAAAATCGGATGAGATTTGACCGAGTTATGGGGGTGAGAAGTTTTGACCTATGTCTATATAGGAATCTAAAGGGTAAGATTTTGACATGAATTTCGACTAAAATTTACGTAGTCAGATTTTAATGCCAGTTTATTCTAGAGGCAAAACTATGAACAAAAAGCCAAAGCTCGTGCAAATCGGATGAGATTTGACCGAGTTATTGGGGCGAGAAGTTTTGACCTCCGTCTATATAGGAATCTAAGGGGTAAGATTTTGACATGAATTTCGACTAAAATTTACCTAGTCAGATTTTAATGCCAGTTTATTCTAGAGGGAAAACTATGAACAAAAAGCCAAAGCTCGTGAAAATCGGATGAGATTTGACCGAGTTATGGGGGTGAGAAGTTTTGACCTATGTCTATATAGGAATCTAGGGGGTAAGATTTTGACATGAATTTCGACTAAAATTTACGTAGTCAGACTTTAATGCCAGTTTATTCTAGAGGGAAAACTATGAACAAAAAGCCAAAGCTCGTGAAAATCTGATGAGATTTGACCGAGTTATGGGGGTGAGAAGTTTTGACCTATGTCCATATAGAATATTTGAGGGTAAGATTTTGACATGAATTTCGACTAAAATTTACGTAGTCAGATTTAAATGCCAGTTTATTCTAGAGGGAAAACTATGAACAAAAAGCCAAAGCTCGTGAAAATCGGATGAGATTTGACCGAGTTATGGGGGTGAGAAGTTTTGACCTATGTCTATATAGGAATCTAAAGGGTAAGATTTTGACATGAATTTCGACTAAAATTTACGTAGTCAGATTTTAATGCCAGTTTATTCTAGAGGCAAAACTATGAACAAAAAGCCAAAGCTCGTGAAAATCGGATGAGATTTGACCGAGTTATTGGGGCGAGAAGTTTTGACCTCCGTCTATATAGGAATCTAAGGGGTAAGATTTTGACATGAATTTCGACTAAAATTTACGTAGTCAGATTTTAATGCCAGTTTATTCTAGAGGGAAAACTATGAACAAAAAGCCAAAGCTCCTGAAAAACGGATGAGATTTGACCGAGTTATGGGGGTGAGAAGTTTTGACCTATGTCTATATAGGAATCTAAGGGGTAAGATTTTGACATGAATTTCGACTAAAATTTACGTAGTCAGATTTTAATGCCAGCTTATTTTAGAGGGAAAACTATGAACAAAAAGCCAAAGCTCCTGAAAAACGGATGAGATTTGACCGAGTTATGGGGGTGAGAAGTTTTGACCTATGTCTATATAGGAATCTAAAGGGTAAGATTTTGACATGAATTTTGACTAAAATTTACGTAGTCAGATTTTAATGCCAGTTTATTCTAGAGGGAAAACTATGAACAAAAAGCCAAAGCTCGTGAAAATCTGATGAGATTTGACCGAGTTATGGGGGTGAGAAGTTTTGACCTAAGCCTATATAGGAATCTAAGGGGTAAGATTTTGACATGAATTTCGACTAAAATTTACGTAGTCAGATTTTAATGCCAGTTTATT